TATTTCGGCCGAGGGAGCCCGATTTTGAGGTATCTGCATGTATTGAACCAGTGCATCATCCGATCGAACCGTTGCTCGTCGGTTCGTTCGTACTGTTCTTTTCGGGAAATTAGTCGACTAATTGGCAAAGTTTAGCAAGACAAACGTAGGATGTCAGTAAGACAGTGGTGTCTGTTGGGCAACACATTTTCCCACACACTATGTCGCTTTCAAAAGCAACCCTATTCCTAAAAGTCGTCAAAAAGATGTCGGATTCGCTTTCCGCTGCCACCAGTGTAGCGTCCCGAGGCTTTCAATGGGGAAGTAGAAGGCATAAGTGAGGTTGAATACATGTATTCCAAAAACAATAGGAGAAATGGGGCCTGAGTGTGGCCCGAAGGCTAGCCTACGTGTACAGGGCCCAGACAAGTTCTAAAGTGACCGCCAAACGTCAGATAGTCACATAAACAAAGCATTACAATTATTGCCAAGATACTGCATCCGGGTGGTATACTCTTGCGCTCCTTCAAGGATTACTAGAACGCTAACTTGATGAAATCAGGTATGCGCTATACCGAGAGATTTGGGCTGAATTGAACTTTTGTCACAAACCTTAAAAAATGTCTCATTGTGGCGGAATTTACGTTGGGGAAGCTTGTCGCCAGAAGTTGATGGTGTGGCTGAGGGCGTAGATATGCATTTTAACAGCATTACTCTTCCTATTCACATAAACGGTATGCTTCTTGCGCATAATTGGCTCTACAATCCACGTAGGTGAGAACATCCATAAACGAGTGGGCAGACAATTAAAATGAGGAATATGTAAGTGATACTGTACTTTCTGTTTCACTGGCTGTATACTCTCGTTGCGGATCCGCTTCCAATCTTCATCACTGCTTATCATAAGGAAATGCTGCTGTTAAACCACTCACTATAAAGTGGGGGTCTGGGTACGGAGCTGTCAGTCCATCATTTGTGCATTTAAACAAGCGGGGGCTACATTTTCTTGGAATGGTATTTGCTACTCTCCTATGCAGTGTCCACTCGAAACTGCACTTCCGTCAGTTTACACATAGGGCAAAGTGGTAAGTTTACCCCAGGACTTTGTCTTTTTAATGAGACATCTTTGAAATAGTACCATAAAAAGCACAATCATGCTAACAACCAGGAGCCAATGCTGCACCGTATAACTTCCTCAATAAGTTAAAGCAATGTTCAAAGTGGCTATGGATGAAAAAAAAGGAAACCTGCTGAGGAGTTCACAGTGCATTTGGTGAGATCTAGTAAATTACCATCAGCCACGCGGTTATGTAGTTTATGATCCGGAGCAATGACCATGCCTGGAATCGACGAGCAGATTTTCAAGCCTGAGCACATTTACCGTAAGAATTCGGCATTCCGTAAAAAATTGCTTTTTAACGTAATGCTATTCGAAAATGGTCGTTTTGGTGGGAAGCAGTAAGTATACGAACAAAGGGTGCACCATGTGAAATTTGTCGTTCTCCCCCCCCCC